AAGTACTCAGATCTTGTACTTGAGTAAATGTAGAAGTACTCAGATCTTGTACTTGAGTAAAAGTAGAAGTATTCAGATCTTGTACTTGAGTAAAAGTAGAAGTACTCAGATCTGGTACTTGAGTAAAAGTAGAAGAACTCAGATCTGGTACTTGAGTAAAAGTAGAAGAACTCAGATCTTGTACTTGAGTAAAAGTAGAAGTACTCAGATATTGTACTTGAGTAAAAGTAGAAGTACTCAGATATTGTACTTGAGTAAAAGTAGAAGTACCAGAGTGTAGGAATACTCTGTTACAGTAAAAGTCCTGCATTCAAAATGTTCCTCAAGTAAAAGTAGAAAAGTATTCTCATCAAAATATAGTGAAAGTAGCGACAGTAAAAGTAGTCGTTGTGCACATTGGTCCATTTCAGAATAATATATATGATATGTTTTATAATGATTGATCATGAAAGTGTTCTCAAAGCTGGTAAAGGTGCAGCTAGTTTGAATGACTTTGTATACTGCAGGGTAGCTGGTGGATTTACTCCAGGTGGAACTAAAGTCTGATTTAACACTTGATTATATTTCACATCATTCATCCACATCTGTGAAGTAAAAGAATAAATGTACTTAGTTACTTCCCACCTCTGCGCTTCGCATGTTTCTTCATGTGTTTTGTCACCTTTGTGTTTTTATATTTGCACTGTTTCTGAAGCTGCAGTGTATTTCTCTAAATGTGTTTTAAATACAGATTATAATATATTTGTCATTATAACCTCGGGAAAAAAAAGCAGACTGACTGAGTGCTTCTTCGTAAAAAGTATTTTAATTTTTGTACATAAGTTTCAGTTCATTTCTGTGCTGATGAGGACAGTCTGACGAACCAGTGCATTACAATGAAGACTTCACAGCAGTGTAGAAGTTTGGGGTGGAGCACGACTCTCACTTTGGGAAATAAAAGAGAGACTCCACCCTCGTGCATAAGCCTGATACAAAAGTCACACAATCTGTACATACAATTCATTACATGTGCTTCAACAGTGGAGAGTGAGAGGAGGATTTCAGTATCAAAAAGCGGCCTCTTCTTTCCGTCCTCCCGCTGATTTATTGTACGACAGTTAGGGGGGAAACAGTAAAGAAGAAGGAGGCAGTCTCCCCAACATACAATATAATCTCTTTGTGTAGCTGTGCAACTTCTGGAAACAAAAACAAGACCTGAAAGAATAACTCTGTGAGATACTGCGTACCACATATATATTGGGGGGACATTGACCCCAAATGTTTTGTGTACTTGGTCAACAAACCAAACACCAGGGAATCCCAATGGTGATGCATGTTCTATATTTGACAACATTTACCTTCCTCTTTGCAAATTAAACATACGCTACAGTCGCATCTCACCTCGACAGTCATTCACAAAGGCTTTCAGTCCAATAAAACCAAAGTAGTGGATACAAACCCTCATCTTCGGTACAGAATATTTATACTTTCTCATCAAAATATAACAATATTTACATATTTGCATCAGATTTGAAAGGTTGAGATAGGCCAGATAATTTCCTTACAATGTCAAATGTTATTCTTTTAGCACCTGAGCAAGATAATCTTCTCTGACCACATTTAATTTTTTTAAATTACATGAATTAATGCAAACAACATTATGTACATTTTTAAAGCTTTACATTTTTGGAGCATTTACTTGTATTTACAGTACAATCAACGGTTGGGATTTTGAGTAACGTCTGTGACGGAAAAGAGTCGGGATGACATTTGTGATTTTTATAACAGAGTGGTGCAGCGACGCGTCCTAAACCCCGACAAAAAGCAATGCAATTTCTCCATAGGATGTTAGAAAATAGCTGGAAATAAGGTCTGTGGTTGAGACACATTTACGAGACGGATCACGTTTTGTTCAGCAGTGACCCCACTGGTGATTTCTGAAGAGTTTACGTGTCTGAAAAACGATGGTTGTTGTTAACAAGTGGCTGAATTCTTTCACACACAGTGACGTCACGAGCTACCCACAATGCAACACGCGCCATATATATATATATTAGGGCTGTCAGTCGATTAAAATAGTTAATCGCGATTAATCGCAAATTAATCGCACATTTTTTATCTGTTCTAAATGTACCTTAGAGGAATATTTTTCAAGTTTTTAATACTCTTATCAACATATGAGTGGACAAATATGCTTTATGCTAATGTTTATTATCATTCGAACAATGACAAATATTCTCATGAATATTAAACACAACAACCTGGAACCTCTCTCATACAATAATACAATACAAATGGTGTGTGTGTGTGTGTGTGTGATGGATCGTTGGCGCTATGTGCAACTCAAGGCATATGCTCGAACGGGAGCTGCCTGGACGCTGCAATCATGTTGCGCACTATCCGTGCTGAGTGTGCTGACTTTTCGTACAATGTCCCACTGTCTGGCTTCCTGCATAAAGTCAAGTGCTCGGCGCAGTTGTGGCGAAATGTCGCTCCTCTGTTTTCATTTAAACAGCTCCTTATATCCGTTAGCGCAGCTAGCTAGCACCAGGTGCTAACAACAACAATGCACGTAAGGTCTCTCTCTCGCTCGCTCGGGCCACACATACACACACCCTCCCGGTCCTCCAGATGGCCAGTCGGTGCCTGCCGGTGAGCGTGGAAGTGTGGTCTGCCACAAGCAGGCAGCAGGAGCGGGGCTGTCAGCATCAGCTTGTAGATGGTATTTTAAACTCGATGCGCTCTGAAACTACGGGGCGGCCGAGGAAAAAAAAAATACACATGCGTTAATCGCGTTAAAATAATTAGTGGCGTTAATTATTTTTTTGCGTTAACACGTTATTAACGCGTTAACTTGACAGCCCTAAATATATATATATATATAAATACGCCATTTTCCTGGAGGTGCAAATATCCTGGAGGTGCTAATATAAACAGCTAGCTAACGTAGCCAGGCAGAGCGCACTAGGTTTTTTTTCTGAATTAACGACCGAAGAAATCGCTGCATGTCTTCGGATTACATCTCTGGACTTGAGGGGTGTGCTCTAGGTCGTTACCAGCGTAAACTAGAGCTGTGTGGGTTCTTACAGACTGCCTGCAGATGTATGGAAAAACGACAGTGGCCTTCGTCGATTTTGGCTGCATCTACGTCTATCTTCTGGAAACACCAGGTGAATACCCCACTTGTCACAATAATATTATCATGCCATTGCATATATGTGGTATTTTAGAGTTGACTAGATATTGATTAAGGCAATAGACTATGATATTCAGTACAGGAAGCTTAGCAACACCTAGACGGTGTACGGCTGCTTGCACCTCGCGTAAAACGGCGGATACCGGAAGTACGGTGTCGCGCTCGGCCCAATACCCGTATGTGTGTGTGAAAGAATAGGACTACAGAAGTTGTGGAGGCCGTTGTACGTCATTACACCGAACACGTAAACACTCCGCTAAATTTGTTTCCCCCCGTGTTCTGCTTGAAAGAGAGTACCTGCCTCCTGCAAACTGTTCAAACAAACGCTTCAACTCGTACCATTTAGGATCTGTAGTTTTGAATATAGATCTTAAGTTGGCGTGACGTTGAAGCAGCTGTAGTGACGCTGTAGTTCCTTTATAGCATAACGTTAGCATTTTGCTTCCGGCGATTAGATTTACGATTATAAAATTATAAAAGTAGGGTAGACATGTGTCTCTTAAATGTGTCTCAACCACAGACCTTATTTCGTGCTATTTTCCAAAATCCTATGGAGAAATTGCATTGCGTTTTTGTCGAGGGAACCGGAGGGATACATCCATGGAGGGAACTCATGCGCAGCTTACTTCCGGGTTTTAGGACGCGTCACTGCACCACTCTATAGGTTAACTAGTATAAAAAATAAAAGCATACAGTCTGCAGCTTTGCTTGAAGTAAATCTCGTGTCAAAGTCAGTGTTTTTAGCCAGACTTATGCAAAGGATGTGCCGTGTTATATTATTAAAATTTAGCAATAATACCAAACAATAACAAAATGCGATAATGTAAAGTACAGTGTTTTAAAAAAAAGTACGGAAGCCCTGGGAGGAAATCCAAAAAAAAATGATGAATGAAAAAGACATTGATCCAGATGTATTCTTAATTGTTTTTCTTCGTTGTTTACGAATTGATAATACTTTTATATGTAAAAATAGGGTTTTTTCAGGATAATTATTTTACATCAGCCTTATGTTTAGAGTGTTTAGATAATAATATTACATGTAAACTAAGTTAGTGGGTTAGTGCCTCGTGTGGACAAAATTAATATTACAACATCAATCAATGAGAAATATGAAGGAATACAAAATATCCTTCAAAATGGTATTATAAAAATGTTCCTACGTCAAAAATACAATAGAAAATAAAACATGGAAATTAATATACGGAATTCTTTTTTTGCACTTGCCTTTTTGTTCTTTGTTTATGACTAATTATTAAAATAATTAAAAGTTAAAACCTTTAACTAAGGTGTGGAAAAACGTTTAAATTATGTGTTTCTTTCCTTGCATTTACCTTAGGCGCGTTCACACCGGAGTACTTTTCCTCGTACTTTTGCCCGTTTAGTTCCGTTAGTGCCTGGAATTTTGCGTTCACACCAAAAAGAGAACTTAGTTCAGAGAACTTTTACCCCCTTTTTTAGTGCCTGCTAGAGAGGTGGGACTATCCTGGGGAGAAAAAGTACCACTTTTTGATGGCTGGGCGAATTGCAAACCACGCCCCCTAAAACTCTGAAAAGTTTTTTGAAGCCGCCATTGTATTTGCTGGCATTAGCATTATTAGCATTAGCATTAGCCCAGCGCACCAACGGAGAGAGGCTAACTTATGGCAACACAAAAGAAAACATAGGAGCGGTGGAGATGAGGAGGTGTCGGCGTTCTGGCGATTTACTCAGAAGGCTTCAGTAGAAGCTGCTGGGAGTCCCAGCAGCTTCTACTGAAGCCAGTCCCCAACTCCAGGGACTTCTGGCCGGGGACTTTGGGCGGCAGTATACGCCGTGAAGTTGTTTGCGGCCTGCCAGTAAACCCAAAGCAGAAGAAGAAGAAGTGACGTCAGCGGCTTCATTTGCCTAATCCTCCCTCAGGGAACTTATTCCGGTGTGAACGCGATCTGTACTTAGTTCCATGGGGGCACTCAGTGCTGGGTACTAAGTGTTAGGAACTAAGTACGGCAAAGTACTTGGTGTGAAAGCGGCTCTTGTGTTTAGACTTAGTGCCTCTTGTGGCTAAAAATAATATTACAATAACAAACAATCCAAATATGAAGGAATAAAAAAGGAAAATATGATTCTTAAAATGTTCCTACATCATAAACACAGAAAAAAGACCTAGAAAACGGGTAAAGTTGGATCACCATTTTGTTTTACTTCCATCTCAGTGCTTCCGTATTTGTATTGCTAATAAAGCACATTCGCTTAGTTTGAACTGCTCCAACACGTGTTAAGTTCACATGTTATAAGTTTAAAAAGCAAACAGACCTTTGGACGTTGATGCTGTAATGACAAAGAAAGAACGTGAGGTCGCGACATTTGATCTCCACACAGAAAAACCTGAGTACTTTTTTCCCTCTGAAGCCGGAGAGCAGCTAGCTCTTAGGTAAAACAGCTGTATGTACAGATATTCGCTTCTTTGCCAACAGATTCCTGCTGAGTTATGGCTTCTTCCTCCTCTTTTGTGGTTCCTTTTTGAACTTGATGTGATATTGAATGCAAGAAAGAAGCTGATCTACAACAAATAGTATTCGCAAATACAATTTAAAGAAGCCCTCTCTGTGTGTGAACCTGAAGCATCACCGGGAAGTATTTGCAGATATTATTTGACCCAGGCTTGTTTGTTTTTTCCAGGTCGTCATGATGTCGTAGCTCCGAGGTGTGTGTGGGTCCTTTGGCGTTTCCTCCGTCTGTCCGACTGCCTGTTTTAAAGTCTGCTGACACAGAGCTGCTGGGTGTCCTCAGTCCATCATGTCCTCCTTCGAGTAGTCTCTGGATTTCCTCTTGAAGAAGCCCATCTAAAAGGAGCAGAAATTCAATTAGAAAGCGACCAGCAAAGTCTACAGGAATGCAATAGCTCAGAATCTTGGAAGTTTGTTTATTCCCTTTATTGATAAGGTCAACAACAATATCAGGATTACTGTGAAATATGAAGATATAGTTGAAGAAGCAGCTGCTGTTGAAACACTTAATACATCTGCATTCAAACACATCAAAGCTCCCTAATGAATGCATTACATCTCCTTCATTTAACCCGTCTGTCATTTTAAATTGTTAATTTTATCTAATTTCAAAGAGTCCAAATTAAAATCACGAGGTTATGTTAGAGAATAATTCTCCTTTACTCCTAAGATATCTAACCTTTTTGCCCTTTGACATTTATGACCAACCCTGACGTCTGTTATCTCCCTTAAGGAATGTGCTGCTCCAGCAATATGTTGATATTCCCAGTTTATGACCGGGCAACTCTCGGTCACAAATGGTTTATGATTGTGAGGACGCTGGCTTCGAGCCTAAGGGTCAGACAAGTGATTCAGTGTCTCCAGATGTTGGGGCTATCTCCAGTGTTCCCAGACGTTATCTCCCCCAATATGTTGATTACTCTGTAAACCATTTAAAAGGTCTAGCAGGAGAGAGGCGCTGCAGAATTGACGTGGCAACCCTCCCGTGCAGGCAGAACCTCTGGCTGCTGTGACTTGTGACGTGAATCCTCCGGCCGATACTCGTAATAAACCATCAGTGTTTGACATCAAAGCACCAACTCTCCTCGTGTCTCTCTGAGTCCTGACTCTCCATTACTGCAGAGGTTTCCCTTACAGCTTACAAAACAGGACATTTGAGTGCCTCATGTTGACTTTGGGAAACACTGAATGTCATTGTTTTATACCTATCAATCGATCAATTAAGAAATGTAATTAAAGAAAGATTAATTGACAACGAAAGCAGTTGTTAGTTACAGCCCTAAAGCCAGGGTGGGTGTTAATGCTAAGCTAGGCTAATGGTGTCCTGCCGCTCATAGCTTCATATTTAACATACGGACACAAAAGCACGTTTAATTTAGCAATTTATAGCGAGCTTTTTGAAATACTTTTTACCTTCCAGAGAGCGAAGATGACGAGGGCTAAGATGAGCAGTCCTATGAGGATGCTGATGATGATGATCCAGATGGGGATTCCTCCTGAAGACTCCTTAGAAACCTGGATCTTCGTCTGATGTCACACACACACACACACACACACACACACACACACACACACACACACACACACACACACACACACACACACACACACACACACACACACACACACACACACACACACACACACACACACACACACACACACACACACACACACACACACACACACACACACACACACACACACACACACACAATGTAAATATATTTAAACTTGCGACACACAGATGTTTACAGTGAAAACAGATCAATAGATAATGCCTTACACTCCTGGTGCTGTCGCTCAGTTCGAACAGGTCTGTGTTTGTGATCTTCAGCGTGGCGTTCACCAGCATGTACAGACTGGTGAACTCCCCCTGTGAAAGAAATCTCATTTTAACATTTGAGTTGTTGATTATCAATCAGTTAGAAAGCTTAGCTGGTCAATCTGCTTCACTGTTCTTCACTTTGAGCAATTCAACAAGAGAGACAAGACAATAAAAAATGAGCAAAATGTGCCGGACATTCTTAGAGGACAATAACATGTCTCAAAAACTGGTATAAAGATATTTTTAAATGTTAAATCTTGAATATAACTTCAATTCTAACCATGACTACGAAATAAACATTGTTTTTTTTACAGTTTTAACCGTTTAAATGCCAGTTTGTTTACATAATGTCACTGTTAAAGTGGGAAAAACACCAATATTGGATACTTTCTGTCTAGGAGGATGGTGTTCCCCACAGTGTAGGATATGTCGATAACTACTGTAGCGACTAACAGCATTGATTTTGATGTATTTCTTAGTTTCTTGTGCAGGAAACCAGGGAAATAGCATGTAATTGTCCCAAAAGGCTCATGAGAAAAGGTCTTAATCTGGTTCAAAATGGTAAAAAGTTATATTTTGAAGCATCTCGATGTTAAGCCAGATATAATGTCAAGTATAAGTTTAATCTGTTATGGCCATGGGATCAAAACGTGGTTTCTATAATGACATTTAAGGTCTCGGCTACACAGCTTATTATAGTCTTATGATCTACGAGTCTGGGGTTTTCTATTTTGTTGTGTTTTAAAATGTATGAGGGTTTTCAGTCTGTGGCTATAAGTATGGTTTTATTGCTTTTACATTAGTTTATTTTTGTCCTATCGGTTTAGTCTAAATCAGGGATGGGCAACTTTGATGGTGGTGGGGCCACATAATTGATGTACTGGCCACCAGGGGGCCGCAGATTCACTTGGGGAACACACACACACACACACAGACACACACACACACACACACACACAAATTCCATGTATTGTATGTAATTATTAACAAATATACGAAGTCTGATCTTCATTGACATTTTACAATCTTTCAGGGAACACCCTCTAATAAACTCGCTCAACAAATATCAGTTCACAGAAATGTTATTTAAGTTTTACAAGTGGCATGTTTGTATTGAACAGGTTATTTAACAGTGGAATAAAACTATTTTAAACAATTGGAAAGCACAGGAAATGTGTGTGCATTGAGATTAACCATTAAGTCATAAACATGAAGTCATGAACACTAACCCAGACATCAGTTGTCTAACTTGAACCTAAGACACTTGAAGCCTCTCTCTGCTGACGCACAATACGGGCAATGTCAACACAGACACCTGTCAACCCACACTCTGCTGTTCCTCAGCACCGGTATTTGAAATCATGTAGCAGCTCGCCACGTAACTAGGAGTCTAGTGGACGGTATCAGTACTACAGGTATAACAAAAAATTCAAAATATATATACAATTTTTTTTTTTATTCATTACGTTGTTCATAAATTAATCTGAGGGCCGCAAAAAGAGGAGGTGCCATTTGCCCATCCCTGGTCTAAATGTATTTATGCTGCTTTTCATATATTATTGATGTCCAGCACTTTGGTCAACACTGTTGTTTTTAAATGTGCTATATAAATAAAGTTGGATTGGATTGGATGATAGGAGGTAAGCTTCAACTTCCACAATTGGACGAAACCTCCCACACTTGCCAAATGATATGCTATATGATTTAACACAGAGTGACGCCTTAAACATCCAGCAGTGATGCCTGAGTTTCTCACCGTGATGAAGGTGGGCTTCCAGACTCTGAACGTGACGTTGACCTGGCTGGAGGTGTTCTCAGGGAGCGAACATCTGAAGGACGCACACTGGTTCTCACATCTCTGCAGAGGACACAGGAAGAGTGGAGCTCAGGGCAAAACATATTCACTGGTGAAGCTGAAATTAACTTGACACTCAAAAATAAACCCACAGAGAGTCAGGTCACTCACCAGCAGGAAGACGCTCAGAGTTTCCTTCTTTGGATTCGGGTAAACGACTTCAGGGCTAATTTTCTGATAGTTGATCCACCGAGTTGCGTCACATTCAACCTGCAGAGAGACGGACATTAAGGTGTCTCTTCAGATACAAGTGTGTGTGTGTGTGTGTGTGTGTGTGTGTGTGTGTGTGTGTGTGTGTGTGTGTGTGTGTGTGTGTGTGTGTGTGTGTGTGTGTGTGTACCTTGGGGCTGCTGGTGACACGTGTGGGTGTGTGTGTCTGTGTGAGAGTATGTGTGTGTGTGTGTGTGTGTGTACAAATACTTACATAAATAAATGGGAAAAATAAATGATAAATAGGGGAATAGATCAATCAAACGCAATCAAATGTAATGTACAGTAAGTATGTGTGTATGTGTGTGTGTGTGTGTGTGTGTGTGTGTGTGTGTGTGTGTGTGTGTGTGTGTGTGTGTGTGTGTGTGTGTGTACCTTGGCGCTGGATGTGACGTTTGTGAGGTACAAGAGGTTGTTCTGCCGAGGCGAGAGTTGAGGATAAACCACATAGAGGTCCAGAGGAGGAGTCACCATGTCACCTGACTTCTCCACCTGAACACGGGGGGGGGGAAACAGATTTTATTAAACTAATTAATAATTAAACTGTGTATTAATATTGAGGTGGGAAGTAGTGGAGTACAACTACTTAATTACTCAAGTAAATTTGTCTGGTATCAGTACTTTACTCCACTAAATTTGAACTCAAATACCTGTACTTTCTACTTCTTACATGTTCAACTCAAATACCTGTACTTTCTACTTCTTACATGTTCAACTCAAATACCTGTACTTTCTACTTCTTACATGTTGAACTCAAATACCTGTACTTTCTACTTCTTACATGTTGAACACAAATACCTGTACTTTCTACTTCTTACATGTTGAACTCAAATACCTGTACTTTCTACTTCTTACATGTTGAACACAAATACCTTACTTCTACTTCTTACATGTTGAACTCAAATACCTGTACTTTCTACTTCTTACATGTTGAACTCAAATACTTGTACTTTCTACTTCTTACATGTTGAACTCAAATACCTGTACTTTCTACTTCTTACATGTTGAACTCAAATACCTGTACTTTCTACTTCTTACATGTTGAACACAAATACCTGTACTTTCTACTTCTTACATGTTGAACTCAAATACCTGTACTTTCTACTTCTTACATGTTGAACACAAATACCTGTACTTTCTACTTCTTACATGTTGAACTCAAATACCTGTACTTTCTACTTCTTACATGTTGAACACAAATACCTGTACTTTCTACTTCTTACATGTTGAACTCAAATACCTGTACTTTCTACTTCTCTCATTTTCCAAACAGCTGGTTCCTTTAGTCTGAATGTGTGTTTGATGCGTGATCATTATTCTTTAGAGTCATTGCGTGCCTATTGATTTGAACACGATCCGTGTATCCATCATTTCCTGGTCTTCTCTAAAGAAGAGGGACCAATGGAAACGTTGTCATGTTGCCGTTGTTCAGCATGGAAACATTCATTAGCTAACAATGACATTATTGTTCTATTAATATAAAGAGAGGTCAGGTACTCTTTAAAGCAGCTGCTAGTTATGGGTACTTTTTACTGAAGTACATTTCAAAGCCTCTTTACTTTGACTTGAGTAAAGAAGTTTAGTCAGTACTTCTACTTTCACCAGAGTATTTTTAAACACGAGTATCTGTACTTCCACTTGAGTAAAGGATGTGTGTACTTTTGCCCTCTCTGGTAATAACCGAACACATGGATGCGATGTGTTACCGTATAGCTGATGATGACCTCCTCTCCGATCATCTTTGTTTCGTTGAACGAACTCGCAAACGTCTCGCCGTCTTTCACCACCACGTGTTCATCCATAGGACGCCTGTAAACAAAAATACATATATTAGATTTATGCATTTCATTTAATTAAAGTACCATGAAACCAGAAGTCTCGTTACCAATTCATACAAATGGAGCACACTTAGTGTTTTTAAGTAATAACAACGATAATAATTATAACAGTAATGATAATAATAAAAAATACAAATAATAATAACGAGATATTCAATTATTTATGATTTGAAATATTAATTGTATTTATTTATTTACATTTTTGTAATTTCATAACTCTTTTTTATGAACTATAAGCTAACTCTGTTTTCTTGTTCCTTGACTGTATTTATTCATATTAAATTACTGACTTTAAAAAAAAGACATCACCTTGAAAAATCACTTAATTGGAAGTGTTTGACTTTTTTTCGCACATTTGATTGACCGAACAGTTAATTCATCTCGATAATAATTGGCAGGTGAATCATTAGTGAGAATATTTCAGTTGTTAGTTGCAGCATTGATGAAGAGGAGGAGGAAGAGGAGCCACTCACACAGTGAAGATGATTCCAGCTTGGTACTTCACGGGGATGGAGATCTGCACCGAGTTGTCGTGCAACGTCGACTCCAGCTCCTCACTGTCACTGTGGGGAGAAGAGGGTATAATCAATAAATACAATAATAAATCAATAGTGTAATACATAAATATAATAATAAATAAATATAATAATAAATAAATATAATAATAAATAAATATAATAATAAATAAATATAATAATAAATAAATATAATAATAAATAAATAGTGTAATAAATAAATAAATAGTGTAATAAATAAATAATAATAAATATAATAATAATAAATAAATAAATAGTATAATCAATAAATAATATAATCAATAAATACAATAATCAATACATATAATAATAAATAGATATAATAATAAATAAATACAATATTTAATAAATAGTGTAATAAATAAATACTAAAATAAATAAAGATTTATATAACTAGTTTCAAGTTAAAGAAGAAAAAAGCTTTTGGACTTAAAGCACATAATTAAGCATTTTTTTAATTTGTTTTTCTATTCATACTTAATGTAAAAGCATGAGTTTGTATTTTGAACAAAATATATTAAATTAAATTCAGACAAATAAAGAAAAAGTGAAAAATATAGAAAATACCTCGTGGCCGTCACGTTGATCTGAATCACGTCCTGGATGTGTTTGGGATTCACCTCAAATCTCACTTTGAAGTTTTCCTGTGGATATCAGAACATAACACACATTATTAGCAGCACTAAAGACAACAACACCTCATTTAGTACAGACTTAATTAGACTGAAACTGACCTCTACATTGCTTCCTAAGAAAGGGTATCCAACCGCACACTCCACCTTCGTGTGATTCAGCGTGCACGCTTTCTCCGGCTGGGAATAACACAAAATGAAACACACATGGTGTTAGTTTACCCACAAGGACCCACCGTGACACAGGTGTCACATGACATTGAAATACTCTGGAAAGTTCCTTATACAGATTTATCCTTGTTTGTATCTCATGAAGTCCCTGAGTGACACACCCTGAACACTCTGGTGGGTCATGGGCCAGGTCATGTGACTTTGTGTTACCATAACAACACGTCCAAGATGTCCATGGGCCAGGCTAACACATGTGACAGAACTAGCTACATGTTTTGTTTGTTGCTAAAGGGAACATTCAAGCCATTTAAGAATTAAAATGCCTACATTACATGTCCTTTATTACATTTAACCTGTTTTGGAAACATTTCTTGATCAAATTGATATGAAACGAATGAGATAAATGTTCAGATCGGGACATTAACTAAAACGTTCACAGTAAACCCGGAGTAATTATGCACAATCAGAAATAGGAGCTCCAACAAGCCGTTTAGGACAGAGAGGGAATACACAGACTATACAGAGATGCTGTGAGAAACCAATGTGAGTTGGACAATGTAAATATATTCTACTAGACCTCAACAATGGAATTATGATCAGTAGAAATAGCCATGACATGGGACCTTTAAGTTATAAATAAGAGTTACTTTACCATTAAAGCCATATATGTCACTTTTCAGATCTTTGACACTAGGGGGGGTTACTTGTCAGAAATGTGTTCTAGGTGGTCTATTTAGTCTAAATGATGTTCCCATTAGTTTTCCCAAAAGTAGAAATGGGTCCGGGTTCTTATGGGTTAAGATGCTGCAGACAGAAGATGGTCTCACCTCCACTTTAACGTAGTTGATGTTTGGGGAGAAGCTGAGGATGACTTTAGTGTTGTACGCGTTGTCTTTGCTGTTCCTCACGTTGATGTTCACGTCGATCTTGTCTTTGTTGGTTCTGATCATCATCCTGCAGGATTATTACAAATGTGAGTATTTGTGGGTGTAATGCCCACATCAATCCACCAGGAGGCAGTCATGCACAGGAAGCTGCTAATAATCAGCGATGGCAAAAGTACACACATCCTTTACTCAAGTAGAAGTACAGATACTCGTGTTTAGAAATACTCTGGTGAAAGTAGAAGTACTGACTAAACTTCTTTCCTCAAGTCAAAGTAAAGAGGCTTTGAAATGTACTTCAGTAAAAAGTACCCATAACTAGCAGCTGCTTTTAAAGAGTACCTGACCTCCCTTTATATGAATAGAACAATAATGTAATTGTTAGCTAATGGATGTTTCCATGCTGAACAACGGCAACATGACAACGTTTCCATTGGTCCCTCTTCTTTAGAGAAGACCAGGAAATGATGGATACACGGATCGTGTTCAAATCAATAGGCACGCAATGACTCTAAAGAATAATGATCACGCATCAAACACACATTCAGACTAAAGGAACCAGCTGTTTGGAAAATGAGAGAAGTAGAAAGTACAGGTATTTGGGTTCAACATGTAAGAAGTAGAAAGTACAGGTATTTGAGTTCAACATGTAAGAAGTAGAAAGTACAGGTATTTGAGTTCAACATGTGAGAAGTATAAAGTACAGGTATTTGAGTTCAACATGTAAGAAGTATAAAGTACAGGTATTTGAGTTCAACATGTAAGAAGTAGAAAGTACAGGTATTTGTGTTCAACATGTGAGAAGTAGAAAGTACAGGTATTTGAGTTCAACATGTAAGAAGTAGAAAGTACAGGTATTTGTGTTCAACATGTGAGAAGTAGAAAGTACAGGTATTTGTGTTCAACATGTAAGAAGTATAAAGTACAGGTATTTGAGTTCAACATGTAAGAAGTAGAAAGTACAGGTATTTGTGTTCAACATGTAAGAAGTAGAAAGTACAGGTATTTGAGTTCAACATGTGAGAAGTATAAAGTACAGGTATTTGAGTTCAACATGTAAGAAGTATAAAGTACAGGTATTTGAGTTCAACATGTAAGAAGTAGAAAGTACAGGTATTTGTGTTCAACATGTGAGAAGTAGAAAGTACAGGTATTTGAGTTCAACATGTAAGAAGTAGAAAGTACAGGTATTTGTGTTCAACATGTGAGAAGTAGAAAGTACAGGTATTTGTGTTCAACATGTAAGAAGTATAAAGTACAGGTATTTGAGTTCAACATGTAAGAAGTAGAAAGTACAGGTATTTGAGTTCAACATGTAAGAAGTAGAAAGTACAGGTATTTGGGTTCAACATGTAAGAAGTATAAAGTACAGGTATTTGTGTTCAACATGTAAGAAGTATAAAGTACAGGTATTTGAGTTCAACATGTAAGAAGTAGAAAGTACAGGTATTTGTGTTCAAAATGTAAGAAGTAGAAAGTACAGGTATTTGAGTTCAACATGTAAGAAGTAGAAAGTACAGGTATTTGTGTTCAACATGTAAGAAGTAGAAAGTACAGGTATTTGTGTTCAACATGTAAGAAGTATAAAGTACAGGTATTTGAGTTCAACATGTAAGAAGTAGAAAGTACAGGTATTTGTGTTCAAAATGTAAGAAGTAGAAAGTACAGGTATTTGTGTTCAACATGTAAGAAGTAGAAAGTACAGGTATTTGTGTTCAACATGTAAGAAGTAGAAAGTACAGGTATTTGTGTTCAACATGTAAGAAGTAGAAAGTACAGGTATTTGTATTCAAAATGTAAGAAGTAGAAAGTACAGGTATTTGTGTTCAACATGTAAGAAGTAGAAAGTACAGGTATTTGGGTTCAACATGTAAGAAGTAGAAAGTACAGGTATTTGAGTTCAACATGTAAGAAGTAGAAAGTACAGGTATTTGTGTTCAACATGTAAGAAGTAGAAAGTACAGGTATTTGGGTTCAACATGTAAGAAGTAGAAAGTACAGATATTTGTGTTCAAAATGTAAGAAGTAGAAAGTACAGATATTTGAGTTCAACATGTAAGAAGTATAAAGTACAGGTATTTGAGTTCAACATGTGAGAAGTAGAAAGTAAAAAGTCGTCAGTAAAATAAGTAGTGGAGTAAAGTACTGATACCAGAAAAATTTACTTAAGTAGTAACGAAGTATTTGTACTCCACTACTTCCCACCTCTGGTAATGAAGTACATATCGTTAAGTATTTGTATGCTACTTCATACTAGTATTGTTTTAAGACAGATTAATTCCACTTACTTATTGACACTAGGCACTGCTTTGAGAGAGAGATCAGCGATGCACTTCTCATCACTTCCACAGTCCACCAGGGGAATCTACAAGAGAGGGACATTTAAATGCATCACTAGGGACATTTTTGCAATTAAAATAAGTAAAGAAATGCATCGTTTGAGTCCTCCTCCATTTGAAGATGCATTTTGATCATTGCTAAGGGAATAGTTTGGTGTATTCCAATGTAATGAGGGATGTTTATATTATCTTTTGACATCATTTAGCCTATATTCCCATTTCCTAAGTGTCCAAACTGCAGCAAAAATACACAAAGTAGTCGATGTGTACTATATTTCCTACTGTGTTTTAATTCCCATCGTATTTGTCATCAATAATGACATTCTATCCCGGTTTTTATGCATATTTTATGTTTATTTGCCTTTATTGTAATGCATTTCTTGTTTAAAAGTTTCTATAAAAACAACCTTTATTATTATGAATCGTCAGGAGCTCCTCTGCAGAAGTGAGCAGATGAACTAGGGTGAAAGTCAGCTGTGTATTTGTTTGTGTCTCAGACTAAAAGGGGTTCCCAAAACGCTAACCCTGCAAAGATTAACAGTGTCTGTTCACCCAAGAAAATATCATCTGCAGCACAATGTCAAGACAAGAACTTCCTCTGATGACTTCCTGTTTCGTGTGTGCGTGTGTGTGCGTGTGTGTGTGTGTGTGTGTGTGTGTGTGTGTGTGTGTCGCTTCTCTTCCCTTCAATAACAATAACAGGAGCTTGTGTAAGAGCATCGCTGCTATCTGACACCGAGGATGTGTCGAGCTGTCGCTTCTGCATGTTACACACACACACACACACACACACACACACACACACACACACACACACACACACACACACACACACACACACACACACACACACACACACACACACACACACACACACACACACACACACACACACACACACACACACACACACACACACACACACACCATGTATACATCACTTCAGGGGACATTACATTGACTTACATGCATTTCCTGGAGACTTATCCTAACCCTAACCAACACATGCCTAACCCTAACCCTTACCCTTACCCTAATCCTAACCAAGTCTTCACCCTAAAATTAATGATTCCCCTTATGGGGACCTCCAATTTGTCCCCATAAGGGAGGCGAGTCCCCACACGTGACTGTGTAAACAGATTTAGGTCCCCACTAGTATAGTAATGCTAGGCCACACACACACACACACACACACACCCACACACACACACACACACACACACACACACACACATACACACACACACACACACACACACACACACAGTAACAAGAGCATTAATAGCAACGGTCGCTGCCGTCAATATCAACGTTCTCTTTACGGCTTTGTATCTGAAATGAATAAATTATGCATAAAAAGGTAACGATAAATGTCCACAGAGAGAGAGGAGATCTCAACAGATGTATCGGAGCGTTATTTGTTTATTTATGAATTAAGAGAAGCATGGTAAAAGGATCTTGATCACTTCTGGTGTCTCTATGGTGTTTGGAGTTAGCGCCTACACCTGTTGGCAATTTCAAAAAGTTAAAGAGGCCCTGTTCTCCTTTTTGTATGGTGTTCCCCTTCCTGTAGTGTGTTTGTTGTGCATGTAAATGGTCTGCAGAGGCTAAAATCCCAGAGTTCCGTAACATAGTGACATCACTGTAACACTCGCGCTCCTATTGGCTAGCGCTCCAACCCATTAGACGTGTTTGTTGACAAAGCCAAACGACCATATTTAAAAAGTGAAAACGTTTTGTTGAAAATGTTAATTTGCAAATGTAATTATATTCTTGGTCTGTACTTTGAACTGTTTTTATTTTTTTAGCATTAGCCTATTATGTAATATGTCTAATGTTGGGGAATGTTCGGTTGTGTTTGTGTAATGTGATGAATATAAAAAAATCAATAAATACATGTTTACAAAGTGAAAAAGAATGCAAGTTAACGGGTTGCATTTTGCTGGTATCCTCCAAAGATATGAGGAAATCCCCTGACGTGCCGAAGCCGAATTCCCACGTCAGATTCCCCCTCTTTATCTGGATACACGTCACTCATTGGACACATTATCTGGAGAGCCTCTTGTTAGGACAGATATGCATGGAGGAGTGTGGGAATTCAGAAAACTGACTGAAGGACGACAGTCAGCTGTTCTCATGTTAATGAAGTGTAACAGCAGCGAGCCACAGTTGGATTATGGAGACAGATGGAGGAAGTGTAAGATATTTATGAAACGGCACATTTGGAAGTGAGACGGCAGAGAAATGTATTTCTTTGTATATTTGACAGCGGCGAACCGTCAAGGTGTTCAGAGATACCCTGGAACTCTCAGATAAAACAAACAAAAAATCGATTTAATTATATAAATAAAATGAATAAATGAGAATGGTATCTGTGTCATTGATCTGTAATATTACAGTGTTACGTTGATTTGTTTGTCCTTCTCGGACCATGCTCTACGCATATCCAGTGGTTTGTGTTAGAAAAGAAAGCAACCAATCAGATCTTGTTCTGGGTCTCTGGGTAGAATCTCCTTCACCAAGGTATTCTACATCCTTGATCGAAGGCCCTGGCCGTTGCTCTGAATGAGAGCGTGCGTTTAGACTGACAGTTTGATCAAACAATCAGATATTGATTTGTAGCCAGTGGGCGTGTTCTTCCAGAGTTCCCCTCGGTTCCAGGGTATTCTAGAAGGCCCGCTAGTTCACTGGCTCGAGACAGAGGATGAATGCGACGAAGCAATTCATGCCGTTTTATTGTATTTAACGTTGAAATGTAAAGTGCAACAGGTGAAGATGAAGTTGTTGCAGAATTGTTGTGAGTACCCTTTTCAAGACGACAATTCAGTGAAAAGACGGACATTATAACGCCATTATATTCTGTGTGTCTACAGGAGGTTCAGTTGTGATAGACACGGTTCGCCACTGATATTTGATAGGGACAAATCTAATGCTAATTTAGACTTTTTGGAGTTGCTTTTGTTGGTGTGCCTGTGAACTGAACTGAATGAAGTTCTTATTGTTACCCAACGAAACCCGTTATTGAGCAGATTGAACTATAGATATTGAACTATTGAAGTGCACAACAGTAGAGCAGTCCTGACAGTCAGCTGTTCTCATGTTAACGAAGTGCAACAGTTGGGAGCCATTGTTGGATTATGGAGACAGATGGAGGAAGTGTAAGACGAGCATCAGAGGCTTCCTGTCTGCGGCTCTAAATCTTCTGCTCACTGTTACTTGGCAGTTCATCGCCCAAAGTGCTGAGAGGAGACTCTTACTGGTGAGGTTAAAAAGTGTCTTACTGTCTTGTTGATGGATCGAGGGAGGTTTTCATCCAGGACGGGGCCTTGGTCTTCATCTGAGAGGCCAAACTCCAGAGACACCATGAGAGGATCTCTGAAGTCCAGACGGGCCTGTAGGAGGAGGACGAGGACGAGGAGGAAGAGGAGAGTCAGTAAAGAATGATTAATGGTCCTCCTCACACATGGTCCTCCCACACAGAGGCTTTTCACTAGAATCCTTCTCAGGACTACAGTGCTGTATGTGGGTGTTTACATAAAAGCATCATCGCCATGCATTTCCTGTTAGCTGCACCCAAATCACCAGAACATGCATCACTAACCCCCCCACTGGACTTTAACACCCCACACTCAGACCTCACATCCAGCACCAGACCCTATGTTTTACACTGCTATGGACAGTCTTGCACTAATGCACATTTCCCAAAGATATTGAAGTGACTGTTATTTTGTATATTCATTGTTGTGCTTTTATGTATGTCTTAATGTGTGCATATGTGTTGATTGTGTATATACACTGAACAAAAATATAAACGCAACACTTTTGTTTTTGCTCCCATTGTTCATGAGATGAACTCAAAGATCTAAAACATTTTCTATAAACACAAAATAACCATTTCTCTCAAAAGTTGTTCACAAATCTGAAAGAATCTGTGATAGTGAGCACTTCTCCTTTGCCGAGATAATCCATCCCACCTCACAGGTGTGGCATATCAAGACGCTGATTAGACAGCATGATTATTGCACAGGTGTGCCTTAGGCTGGCCACAATAAAAGGCCACTCTGAAACGTGCAGTTTTGCTTTATTGGGGGGGGTCTGGGGGGGGTCCGAAAACCAGTCAGTATCTGGTGTGAGGGGTAGGGGTAGGGGTAGGGTAATGTTGTGAATCGAGTGGCCCATGGTGGTGGTGGGGTTATGGTATGGGCAGGCGTATGTTATGGACGACGAACACAAGCCACTCGATTCACAACATTACCCTAAATATATTTGTTTTTGTATTCTGGATTGTGGGAAACGGTATTTCGATCTCTCTGTCTGGTCACACAAACAAAAAAAGATTGACAATAAAGTTGACTTTGACTTAAAGAGTCCGTAGAGTTGGTGCTTTGCTGAGCTGACGTCACGTTGCGAAGACATAGCGCAGATGGAAGTAAATACTGTGTTATAGTAATAGACTTTTTAGTAATTTGCATGTATGTTTTACTTCCATGGAATTCATGTGGTGTTAAAACCCAGTCTCACGGCATTTGGTGTTATAGTCACAAAATGTAATCTATTGATTCGTGTCACACAGAACGATTTTAAAAGTAATGTAAAGAATAACAAATTAGAAGGAAAAACATATTTAAAAAATACAGATTTCAGTATTCTGAGGCTCTGAGCCATTTCTTCGGCAAGAAAAGTCAGACATTATAGAATTTAAAATAAAAACAATGATCGTGGCTTGATATTGAGTAAGAACATGTTTTATGAACCCCACAGCTTCCGGTCTTCCACGACCCGACCGGACAAAAAGACGTGCTGCAGGCACGAAACACACAACCAATAGAAATACATTGCTTTTAAAATCGTTCTGTGTGACACGAAAAAAATGGGAAAATTGTGTTGGTGAACACGAATCAATAGATTAAATACATTTCGTGACTATAACACGAAATGGCGTGAGACTGGGTTGGGTTTTATGTAATAAGACCTGGATTTGCTAGAAAAAAAAATATTTAGTAGCATTTACCGTGATAATAAGTCCGGTAAAGCAGTGTTTTAGTGGTTTTAGGAAACGTACTGGTGAACTCTGGGACAAAATATTCTTTGTAGCGTCCGTATATGTCCTCCATTTTACAACTAAACACGAGAACAACTTCCCAAATTGGGAAATGAGACGACCCCAGGAGCATGTGGATGCAGCGTAATGTTGTGCCTCATGTAAGTACGAGCAAATACGTCCGAAAAATATGTGAATGTCTGAGTTGTAATCCTAAATTAAGTCTGTACGGCTCATCCTCTTGGGACCATGCATGTCTGCACTCTCGTTCATAGCAATTGTAAGGGGCTGAGAGACAGAGTAGTGGGAGGCTCCTACATTCCCAACAGGTGGCTCCACCCTCTTCCAATTAGCAGGGAGACTAAGCACCCAGAGTTGCTCAGTTGTGTGTGGCACATGGAGGGAGCAGGAGGCTCCCAGTGTAAGGAAATGTTTTTTGTAAGCTGGTAAGTCGGTTAGCGGCCCGGCTACGTTAGCCTTTGTTTAATGGAAGGTATTTTTGGAGTTTGATAGCAATAAAGCCTTTTTTGGATTTGAACACTGCCTCTGTCGTGATTGCTGCACTACCACTTTCCTCTTCATCTGCCCAGTCCTGTTACACAATCTATTCAAATGGCTGCTAAGATATTTCAGTTTGGAATAAAGAGGTAGACGGACATTGCGTTCCCTAAAGCTGCTGGTATGGATTCAATCAACCAGAATAACTGGACCAACCTGCAGAGTGGGGGGTTCAGGGTCTGACACATGAAGAGAAATCTTAAGGTTCACTTGGCATGTAGTGCATAAAGTAGAGCACCAATATGAGTCAAGCCAAATGCTGATCACATTAACGACTGGAGGCATCACTACATGAGCTTTAAACCCTTCTTTTGGACATGGGTTCATTTGTGATTCATCTGCAGTTGTTCAGATTTGTTCACATTTGGGTCTGATCCACCTCGGTCAGACATGTCGTGATGCTTTTTGTGTCCGGGACAAATTGTAGACTCCTCCGTACTGGAAGTTATTGAGAGTTTGTGCACAAGGAGAACAGAGCAGGTATTCATCACGGAGCCATGACACAGCAGCAACAACAGCTGTCTCCACTGATTAGTTCCTCTTCCTCGCGCCTCGGGCTAATCAGAGGAATCCATTGCGGCTTGAATGAGAAACTGTGTGTTCTGTCACGATGCTGGAGAGTTCATCCTCTAGGAGGTGCTGCAGTACAAAAGTGCGATGAAGAGTCTGTCATGTGCTCGTTAAGTCCCTCTCTTTTCGTTGGTCTCCTCATTCTACGGTGGCCTACAGGTGCAAAATGCGTACGGCCTAAAAAGAATATAAAAAGACAAAGGTTCCTAAACACCTGATGAAAATACATCTCCACCAACTTGAGGAAACAGGACCAGGGGACACTAAAAAGTGACGCACGCATCTGGGAGACCAGGGGACACTAAAGAGTGACGCACACAGCTGGGAGACCAGGGGACACTAAAAAGTGACGCACACAGCTGGGAGACCAGGGGACACTAAAGAGTGACGCACACAGCTGGGAGACCAGGGGACACTAAACAGTGACGCACACAGCTGGGAGACCAGGGGACACTAAAGAGTGACGCACACAGCTGGGAGACCAGGGGACACTAAAGAGTGACGCACACAGCTGGGAGACCAGGGGACACTAAAGAGTGACACACACAGCTGGGAGACCAGGGGACACTAAAGAGTAACGCACACAGCTGGGAGACCAGGGGACACTAAGAGTGACGCACACAGCTGGGAGACCAGGGGACACTAAAGAGTGACGCACACAGCTGGGAGACCAGGGGACACTAAAGAGTGACACACACAGCTGGGAGACCAGGGGACACTAAAGAGTGACGCACACAGCTGGGAGACCAGGGGACACTAAAGAGTGACGCACACAGCTGGGAGACCAGGGGACACTAAAGAGTGACGCACACAGCTGGGAGACCAGGGGACACTAAAGAGTGACACACACAGCTGGGAGACCAGGGGACCACTAAAGAGTGACGCACACAGCTGGGAGACCAGGGGACACTAAAGAGTGACGCACACAGCTGGGAGACCAGGGGACACTAAAGAGTGACACACACAGCTGGGAGACCAGGGGACACTAAACAGTGACGCACACAGCTGGGAGACCAGGGGACACTAAAACGTGACGCACACAGCTGGGAGACCAGGGGACACTAAAAAGTGACGCACACAGCTGAGAGACCAGGGGACACTAAAACGTGACGCACACAGCTGGGAGACCAGGGGACACTAAAAAGTGACGCACATCGCTGGGAGACCAGGGGACACTAAACAGTGACGCACACAGCTGGGAGACCAGGGGACACTAAAACGTGACGCACACAGCTGGGAGACCAGGGGACACTAAAAAGTGATGCACACAGCTGAGAGACCAGGGGACACTAAAACGTGACGCACACATCTGGGAGACCAGGGGACACTAAAGAGTGATGCACACAGCAGGGAGACCAGGGGACACTAAAAAGTGACGCACGCATCTGGGAGACCAGGGGACCCCAAAAAGTGACGCACACAGCAGGAAGACCAGGGGACACTAAAAAGTGACGCACACAGCTGGGAGACCAGGGGACACTAAACAGTGACGCACACAGCTGGGAGACCAGGGGACCCCAAAAAGTGACGCACACAGCTGGGAGACCAGGGGACACTAAAGAGTGACGCACACAGCTGAGAGACCAGGGGACACTAACAAGTGACGCACGCATCTGGGAGACCAGGGGACACTAAAGAGTGACGCACACAGCTGGGAGACCAGGGGACACTAAAGAGTGACGCACACAGCTGGGAGACCAGGGGACACTAAAGAGTGACACACACAGCTGGGAGACCAGGGGACACTAAAGAGTGACGCACACAGCTGGGAGACCAGGGGACACTAAAGAGTGACACACACAGCTGGGAGACCAGGGGACACTAAAGAGTGACGCACACAGCTGGGAGACCAGGGGACACTAAAGAGTGACGCACACAGCTGGGAGACCAGGGGACACTAAAGAGTGACACACACAGCTGGGAGACCAGGGGACACTAAAGAGTGACGCACACAGCTGGGAGACCAGGGGACACTAACATTTGACGCACACAGCTGGGAGACCAGGGGACACTAAACAGTGACACACACAGCAGGGAGACTAGGGGACACTAAAAAGTGACGCACACAGTTTCCTGTTGTGTTTTGAGCTTCTTGCAGCGTTTTGAATTTGCAGCTTTTAGTAAACGCATGTCTCCTCAAGTTGGTGGAGATGTTTCTTAATTTGAATGCATTTTGGCAAATTTGTGTTTTCATAATTGCATCGTTATTTTAAACTGCAGCTGCGTTTGGGCTGCTGTAACTCTTTTGCGCCTGTTAGCCACCATCATTTATCACTCAGAGCTGTTTCGCGGCCTGCTTTGATCCGGTCTGTTTCATGTTTCCTGTGCTGTCTCCTTTCTCGCTCAGAAACACCTTCTACATCTCCAACCAGCCTACAAATGAACTTCCATGGATGCCCGTCGTCATTAAGTTGATTTAATTGCTGTGTCTCGTGGATACGGGGCTAAAAGTAACCACCTGTGTATAAATCTTAAAAGATCAGAGCACTTGCCGACATCATGAAGGTTTCTTGAGCACATTTTCTCTCCCTGTGGCTGATATTGAACGTCCTGGCGACTCTGCGGTCGTTCTTTTCGTCCGAGCCGATGAACGAAGCCCTCGCTTTCGCACGCAGAGCATCCAGAGTCAGAGTGTAGCGGATACCTGCAGGGTAAAGACAAAAAAAAGGAACATTTATTTATGAAACACAGCTAATTTGGACGTGAGGAGGCAGAGAAATGTATTCTTTCCCTTAATGAATACACAGGATGAAAATTGAAATTGATGTGTGATTTATTTGTGATCGATGTGATATTTCACTTTAACTCGTGTGTATGGTTTGCCTGAACTATTTTTGTTAACTATTTTTGATTGTTTTTCGTCAGACTTGACTCTGACTGGCAACCCAATTAATAGCAAATATGTAAAATCCACTAAAACATCCGTAGTAGCTTCTAGATGAAGGGCTCACCTGCAGCTGGGTGTTCGGCCTGCTGGTCAGATTTGATGCTGTAGACGAAACACACCTCCGTCTTCACACACACAGATTTACGTCCTCCGTGCTCACACTGATGCTGAGCCTGCTGCAGGTTGATCTTAACGGGGTCGAAGGTCATGTTGCCTCGGAGCTCTGCGACGTCTCTGGACCTGGAGAGAGAAAACAGACGTGCAAAAGTCCAGAAAACTGTCTGTGCAACGGGTGCAATAAACCTGTGACGTGCGATATATAGGACACCTTTTATGGCAATTCTACTCTGCAATTATAATCACTTTTATGTGCAACAAAACCTATTTTTATAATATATCAAAACCTTAATATGTTCACTCATTCTCAGCCATGGATGAGTACTTATTTGTCTTTATTTTAATAACTAAATATGTTATTTTTTTAGCTAAAAACTGCATAAAACAAATGCTGCAAGAAGCTCAAAACCCATCTGGGAGACCAGGGGACACTAAAGAGTGATGCACACAGCTGGGAGACCAGGGGACACTAAAAAGTGACGCACACAGCTGGGAGACCAGGGGACACTAAAAAGTGACGCACACAGCTGGGAGACCAGGGGACACTAAAGAGTGACGCACACAGCTGGGAGACCAGGGGACATTAAAGAGTGACGCACACAGCTGGGAGACCAGGGGACACTAAAGAGTGACGCACACAGCTGGGAGACCAGGGGACACTAAAGAGTGACGCACACAGCTGGGAGACCAGGGGACACTAAAGAGTGACGCACACAGCTGGGAGACCAGGGGACACTAAAGAGTGACGCACACAGCTGGGAGACCAGGGGACACTAAAGAGTGATGCACACAGCTGGGAGACCAGGGGACACTAAAAAGTGACGCACACAGCTGGGAGACCAGGGGACACTAAAAGTGACGCACACAGCTGGGAGACCAGGGGACACAAAAGAGTGACGCACACAGCTGGGAGACCAGGGGACACTAAAGAGTGACGCACACAGCTGGGAGACCAGGGGACACTAAAGAGTGACGCACACAGCTGGGAGACCAGGGGACACTAAAGAGTGACGCACACAGCTGGGAGACCAGGGGACACTAAAGAGTGACGCACACAGCTGGGAGACCAGGGGACACTAAAGAGTGACGCACACAGCTGGGAGACCAGGGGACACTAAAAAGTGACGCACACAGCTGGGAAGACCAGGGGACACTAAAGAGTGACGCACACAGCTGGGAGGACCAGGGGACACTAAAGAGTGACGCACACAGCTGGGAGACCAGGGGACACTAAAAAGTGACGCACACAGCTGGGAGACCAGGGGACACTAAAGAGTGACGCACACAGCTGGGAGACCAGGGGACACTAAAGAGTGACACCACACAGCTGGGAGACCAGGGGACACTAAAGAGTGACGCACACAGCTGGGAGACCAGGGGACACTAAAGAGTGACACACACAGCTGGGAGACCAGGGGACACTAAAGAGTGACGCACATAGCTGGGAGACCAGGGGACACTAAAGAGTGAAGCACACAGCTGGGAGACCAGGGGACACTAAAGAGTGACGCACACAATACTTTTGTATGCATGCTTCTTAGGTAACATTAATCTGTCTTTGGCTCTTTTCTGCTGTAACAATGTAAATGTCCCCTCTGTGGGACGAAGAAAGGTATTCTGATTCTCTACGTCCTCGAATGAAGGAACAAGAAACGGATGCAGCTTGATTGTAAAACTTGGCCTCTCCATCCAACCGTTAAAGCTTTTCTAAAACGCAGCCAGCAGCTCGGGGAAAACCTCCGCCTGCTGCCAGATCCTTTCTAAACTCTGAGCCTCTTGGGAGACGGGAGTTTTCACACAGCTCAGCTCTGACACTGTGGGAGAGGAGCGTCTTCCTGGGAAGTTAAATCCTGGAATGGGAGGACTGTGAGGGCTTGAGGTCATTAGGAAGTTGTTGGTCTCCAGCGGGAGGCACACAGCTGTCTAAACCCGCGTAAAACAATGCAGCGCCGACATATTCTGTATTATAAACAGAGGTGGGAAGTAGTGGAGTACAAATACTTCGTTACTGTACTTAAGTACATGTTTCTGGTATCAGTATTTTACTCCACTATATATTTTTCTGACGACTTTTTACTTTGACTTCTGACATTTTGAACACAAATACCTGAACTTTCTACTTCTTACATGTTGAACTCAAATACCTGTACTTTCTACTTCTTACATGTTGAACACAAATACCTGTACTTTCTACTTCTTACATGTTGAACTCAAATACCTGTACTTTCTACTTCTTACATTTTGAACACAAATACCTGTACTTTCTACTTCTTACATGTTGAACACAAATACCTGTACTTTCTACTTCTTACATGTTGAACACAAATACCTGTACTTTCTACTTCTTACATGTTGAACTCAAATACCTGAACTTTCTACTTCTTACATGTTGAACTCAAATACCTGAACTTTCTACTTCTTACATGTTGAACTCAAATACCTGTACTTTCTACTTCTCTCATGTTGAACACAAATACCTGTACTTTCTACTTCTTACATGTTGAACACAAATACCTGTACTTTCTACTTCTCACATGTTGAACTCAAATACCTGTACTTTCTACTTCTTACATGTTGAACTCAAATACCTGTACTTTCTACTTCTTACATGTTGAACTCAAATACCTGTACTTTCTACTTCTCTCATGTTGAACACAAATACCTGTACTTTCTACTTCTCACATGTTGAACTCAAATACCTGTACTTTCTACTTCTCACATGTTGAACTCAAATACCTGTACTTTCTACTTCTTACATGTTGAACTCAAATACCTGTACTTTCTACTTCTCACATGTTGAACTCAAATACCTGTACTTTCTACTTCTTACATGTTGAACCCAAATACCTGTACTTTCTACTTCTTACATGTTGAACTCAAATACCTGTACTTTCTACTTCTTACATGTTGAACTCAAATACCTGTACTTTCTACTTCTTACATGTTGAACTCAAATACCTGTACTTTCTACTTCTCACATGTTGAACTCAAATACCTGTACTTTCTACTTCTCTCATTTTCCAAACAGCTGGTTCCTTTAGTCTGAATGTGTGTTTGATGCGTGATCATTATTCTTTAGAGTCATTGCGTGCCTATTGATTTGAACACGATCCGTGTATCCATCATTTCCTGGTCTTCTCTAAAGAAGAGGGACCAATGGAAACGTTGTCATGTTGCCGTTGTTCAGCATGGAAACATTCATTAGCTAACAATGACATTATTGTTCTATTAATATAAAGGGAGGTCAGGTACTCTTTAAAACAGCTGCTAGTTATGGGTACTTTTTACTGAAGTACATTTCAAAGCCTCTTTACTTTGACTTGAGTAAAGAAGTTTAGTCAGTACTTCTACTTTTACCAGAGTATTTTTAAACACGAGTATCTGTACTTCTACTTGAGTAAAGGATGCGTGTACTTTTGCCGTCTCTGATAGTAACGTCTGGTTTAGCTCCAGGAGGAATGTGTAGTTTAGGGAGTGGGTGTTTTTACTCACCAGAACAGAGAAGCCCCTCCCAGACCTCCTATGGTAACGTCAGTGATCCCGTCTCCATTCAGATCCATGACTCCATGGATGGACTGACCGAAGAACTTCACCTTCACACCGTCACCTCCTGCAGGGATGTGCTGCAGGGAAACACAGAGGACATTCAAAACACAATAAAAGGGAAATTACAGTTCATTTCAACCCATAAATGTGGTTATTGTGTCCCTGGGTAAGGCGATATAGCATTATATAGCAGATATCGATAGAATAACACTCAAAATAACAATAATAATTGTAGTTTCAAACATAAATATCCTCTCATAAGTGACTTTAGAGCTCATTGAAATAGTAAAATAGTGAGAAATAATTTTTTTAAAGCCTTGTATTTACAATTTGTAAGATTTTGTTAATTTTCACTAAAAGGGATGATCACTCAAAAATGCTGTCATGCAATTAAAATATTTGCTTTTTAACAAAATGTAAGATAACGTGATTCCAGTATTAACAAATGCAATTTTTTTAATCGTTTTTATAATAATTGTACACATGGCGCCTCATTTTAGCAATCAGATGTACTAAAATATACAGAGAGGAGTAGTTTAAATGTGTTTCGGTCAGTACATTATGTTGTATGCATGTTGTTTTGCCGTCAAATAGATACTATTATCACTGTAAAAGTGAACTACAGATGCATGATTGGTCACCTCTTGCTCCAAAAACGAAATGGTGACAATTAAAAATGCCAAAATCAAGGCGCCAAATCGGTCGTCCTCAAACTCGATTGTCGACTTCATCCATTGGTTGAATCAGAAACGGGTTTATTCCATGGATAGATAGTTAGCACGATAGATAGATAGATAGATAGATAGATAGATAGATAGATAAATAGATAGATAGATAGATAGATAGATAGATATA